TCTCATGGGTAGACTTGGTTTATTTAGGGGGGAGGAGGGGGGGGCTCTAACCATGTGGAAGCTAACTTTTAAAGTAAACAACAATCTCTGCAATTTATTCTCATTTTATTGGATTAGAGCCACTTGATCTTGCTTATCCACCCATTTGTGTAATACAGATAAATTAGTCATAGACTAGAATACTGTACGTGCACTGTATACACAACATTGATCTAATCTAGGGGGGCTCTACCCCACTTTGTTCATGTAAGGGGGTTGCAGTGCCCCATAGATTCCACCACCAGTGACCACACCTAAGTGTATTTTAGCTGTGCTGGGAACATTTTCAAGGTTTGCACTTGATAAGCTGCAATAAATAAGAAAATTCAATCTAAAGTCTTGCCTTGGTTACAAACATTAAAACAAGGTAGAAACACAGCACAATCTGGGTAGGTGGAGAAGGTATCCATACATTGTCTGCCATAGATTGGGTGAGTATTATTCATTTATTTTTGTGCATGTAATATTATAGTTTAGTCCTATTATACATATAAGTAAAATAAAATGCCATTTTCTTGGAGAGTAGAAGGAAGGACAGTTCAAAATCCCTGATTAAAAAAAAAAAAAATGATAGCGAGGGAAACGGGTAAAATATGGGAGCAATTATCCATGAATGAAGTAAAATGTGTTTCTGTATAGTGATGGGCCATTATGCACTGTGATTTTGCTGAACAGAGGAGAGTGTATGTTTGTATATACAGTATGTATGCATGCATGTGCTTGCACACTGTGTGTATATGAGAGGGGTGCCAACATGGTAGTCAGACCATTGTCTCTGGGACTTCCAGTGGTTGGAATGAGAGATAAATGATGTGAAGAAAAGTTTTAAACTACTGTGGGCTACTCATCACACAAGAACCACAAACCTACTGACCCCACAACAAGCACCCAGATGGAATCATGTTGGCCCCATGGATGATGCTAAATTGTTGGATTCATATTACACATGTGCTTCCTGTGTGGCACCTATCTATTTCTCTCAGAATGTAGTTGGAACAGGGAGGGTGGCAAGCTCCAAGGGAAAACCAGGAGGAAAGGTACATTACCCTGAACCATGAATATTCCTGAGTCCCAGTAGGGTCTTGAGAACCATGAATATTCCTGAGTCCCAGTAGGGTCTTGAGAGACTGGAAGCATGTTGTACCAATACTCTGGAGTTCCTAAAAGAGTTAGGCTCCAGATCCTCTAGTTTGACTGTTACATGTTCCAGTACCTCAGCGTAGTAATCAAGAGGGGAATGCCTACTACATATGGGCTCGCAGCACTTGAGAGAGTCTTGCAATTATGATTGCAACTCTTGCTACAACATAAGTACAGTCGACCCTCGTTAATTCGGACTAATAGGGGGGGAGGGGTGTCCGTTTTAGCCGATTGTCCGAATTAACCGATTTAGGGGTTAATATTGCATTATATTTCAAAGTCATTGTTTTCGTCACGATTTTATCCCACTTTCCACTGTAATACGTATGTCATTTCAGCAAAAATATTACATTTCCGTGAATGCATTATATCAAGCACAGTATGAATAGAATACCATTGTAATATAACCGTATTTTAACCAAAAATTATTAAAAAAAACGAGTAATTTCTCTTGAACATCGGAAGGTTAGGTAAAATCTTTTGTTTTCGTCATGTATTTTATCCTATTTTACATTAAAATACATCACGTTTCAGCAAAACTACTATTTATTTCCAAAAATATATTCATTCAGGCACAGTTAAGGTAAAATATACATGTGATGTAACAGTTTTTTAACTGAAAACGATTCGAAAAACACGTGTGCCGTCTAGCTGATACTCAACAGCTGGTGGTGCGTCATGCATCGTTGTAAACAAAAGGAGGTTGAAGTAGATTACCGGGTATTATATTAAGTGTGAAATATCAAAAAGGTTTTTATTACCGGTAATTTTTGTAGATCAATGAGAACTGTTATACAGTATATGATATGATAAGTTAGCCTATGCTAAGAACTTCAACATAGACTACTGAAAACACATTGTTAGGTAATTTAGCCTATTGTAGGTTGGTGAGCTTCATTTGCTGAAGAAACTGCACAACTATTCATTACTAATTGGTACATATTTTACGTTTCCATTGTTTACTGGCAGTAAATGGTAAATATTTTTCATGTCTGAAGCTAAAAGTTGCATCCCCCCACACTAGTGGTGGAGATGTTACATTTAACCAAAAGGACGCTGGTGTTTTATCCCAGCAGTGGGTGGACCAGCATTTTAGCTTAAGGTCCGCGTAGGTAATATTCCTACAAATCTATAAAAAAAAAAAAAAAAGTTCGTTCAGATTTTGTCTGAATTATCCGAAATCCGGATTAAAGGGGTCCGAATTAACGAGGGTCGACTGTACATGTGTAAAAACAGAAAAAGTAAAGTCAATAAAAAATATGTGGTAGAAGATTACAATATCTCTACTCACATTTTGAGGATAATGATCCCAATTTTTGGTTAACGAATGTTCTTCTCTTTTCTGAGGAAAAGGATGTCCCTAACAGAAACTACCAGAAGTGGTGGATACCTCTTCTGCATATGCACCTACCAAGACATGTATGCTCTCAGCCCTTTACCCTCTTGTGCAAGAGATAAGATCAAAGTTTTCAGTTCCAAGATCACATCTCTGAGGCCCCCAGGGCAGGCAAGACAGTGCACCGTGAATTTTTTTTTGCTTTATCAGTTTCCTCCCAAAACTTGTTTTTAATGGTATAACCCATATATCTTTGGCTTTGAAACTGATTGCTCTGCAACATAAGCCGAAAAATGAATAAAAGTGTATTGCAATTTTTCGTCACTTCTGATAAACGTGAGAAACAAAATACACACCAATACGATCATAACCTCCTAGCTCAAAATTGTCTGAGCCAACTGCTATAAGTGGAATTTTATGAGCTTTCCAATGCAGTAATCAGATTTCTAATATGACCAATAGTTTTTGAGAAAATAGCAAAAACCCAATTCTCAAATGGTAATTTTTTCTATTATTTTTGTGCCAATATAATTTATATTGCATCTTGTAGCCAGCACTACAATGAAGAAAATGGTACTGATAAAATTCATGTAGATCTAGAAAATCATCCTCGGACTTTTTTCGAGACATTATCACTACAGTATAACGAGGTTATATAGCCTGATAGAGTACTTAATGGCTTTTAAAAAAATAAACACCCTCTGTAAATATAAACAAAATATTACATTACACATCCATCACTTAACTTCTCTAACACTAAAAATAAATTATTTCATGGAGTAGGGTAAGCACTGTGATCAAGGAGTTGTTAGCCCTCACGGAGTTATGGAAATTTAAATGGACACGGCTCACACTCGCGGTCTGATTGCTGAGATAATACTGTGCATTTATCCTTCCGGTCTTCCCTTTGTATGTGCCTCGAGGGTTGCCAATTAGCTTCTTTGATAGAACTCACTTGCTACTATGATACATCAAAATTTGATGCAATTCTGCTGAAAACTTAATTTTTGGCAAATTTTTTAAAAGTTTGGGGACTCGATTTGTGTCACCGCGAAGTTGGTCTTACCACGAATATGATGTGAATCGCGTCATCATGCGCGAGAGGTGTTAACAGAGTCAATACCCCTTTCTTCCATTTTTAGAGGCTATTAAAGGAAACACCCTAGTTAATGAATGTGAATGTTTGGGTTACAGCACTTTCATTAGAGCTTAACCGGCCATATATGAAGGCTCCCTTAGATTTGCAATCGTTATACAGTATACTGATGATATAATAGAAACAAACACAATCCAGTAGAAAATAAAAAAATCGGTTAATACTAGCACAGTACAGTATACTGTAAATATTCCTGCATAAACCTATCTTGTGTATAGTTTGGCCCCAGATTTTTGGGTAAAAAAAAAAGAGTTTTCATAAACCTTGTGTGTAATTCGACATTAGCCTTTGAGAAATAAAATGTTTAAACCTAAACAATGTCGGGGATGATAGCTGTTGGCGCTTGCCGTAACAACGCAGCCCCCCCCAGCTGGGACACTGTCACTGCCACCCCTAGCAACAATAATTAGTGTTGTGTTAGGTGATGTGGGATGGCACTCAGAAGTGCATATTTCTGGAATATTTTGTGTGAATTTTAAGGTAGTTGTAGGTGTCATGAGAACAAATATGTAAAACTGTCCAGTACAGTACAGTATATACTTTGTATAATTTTTACAGTACAGTGCTCCTTAAATAATGTTAATTTCGTAGGCACTAAAATTATTATACTGTACAACACAGTACAGTACAGTACTGTGCGTATATTTATTACTGGTAGAGTTGCGGAAATGTTCCTACACCCCTTGTGGTAACTCGTGTCTCCAAACGGCCAACCTATAATTATGACTAACAGCAAACCTATCCACCAATCTCGTCCATCAATACATTACCAATACCCATTCATTCATGAATAGTGAACTGATACTACTACTGCGATGCTTCCGTTTGGAGATGGGTTACCACAAGGGATGTATGTCCGGGTTGTCGTAAGTTGAGGAGTACCTGCATTTAAAGAGTTTTGGGGAATTGTTATTTATAAAATTTTTTTGTAGGAACGTATCTCGGCTTTTATTATGGGAGTCTATGGAAAATGGGATTCATTTTATAAAAAACTGGTTTATGAAAGGTTTTCAGGAATAGAACCCCTTCGTAAATTGAGGACTAATTGTTTTGAAGGGATTTATAAATCTGTTTTACAAATATCCAGTTTACAAACACATTTTCAGAAACAAAGTTTGTAAATGGGACTGCCTGTAGATTGATAATTTATTTTAAGTAAAATGTTTATCAATTTCAGTGTACTGTACAGTATTTACTATTTATCTTTATTTTTAGCCTCGTATGAAATAGTAATGAATCTGAAGTTTTTTTATGGTGAAAGTTTGTTTATCGAGTACAGTACTGTACTTCTGTAAATGCGTATTGAGGTACTGTATTACTGAAGAACAGTTATACTTGCAGGCAATCTCCCAAATTCCAACCCCTGTATCAAGCCGGCCACCTGTCCGTACTATCACCACAGACTCCTCCAACAAAAATACACAGGGCCCTTCCAACAATCATGGTATGAAACCTCCAAGCTATTCCAAACGATTAGAATCATCAGGTCCGGCGGTGACTGTGTTTGTTGGCAACATTACCGAGAAGGCGCCTGATGTGATGGTTCGACATATTCTCAACACTTGTGGCAATGTGCACAGTTGGAAGAGAGTTCAGGGAGCTTCTGGCAAATTGCAAGGTAAGGAAATATATCCTAATTTTTTATGTGCATTATTTATAAGCTTTACTCATGGTTTTTGATGTAAAATGACAGCATAAATGTATGGTGAACTGGTAACTGCTGTTTAGTGCTGAAAGAAAGTACAGCGAGAATCCAACCGAACTCGGGGGTTATGTTCTTGAAAAAAGGTGTGTTCCATGAATTTGTGTTAAGTGGGGGTTTAGTCATGTATTTGAAATGGCGTGTTAGTTTGTAAGGTTAACTATAAGCCGAAGACAATTGATCAGCTGAAGGAAACCTTATGTTTTCCCTGCCTTCACTAGATGGTAGAACTGCCGTGATACCTGCTGACACTGGCCTGCAGCATCTACACAAATCACTCAAGATTCACTACACCCCCAGTTATATTGCCCCATCACTTACCTTGAGTATAAGCAACTGCAGTCCAGGAAGCAGTTGTTCAGACTCAAGGCAAGATCTAATTTGTTAAAAAGGGTTTTGAAGTAATGGAATTAATGTTGAAAGTGAGACAAAGTGGTGTCTTAGGGATTTTTTTGGGGGGGGGGGTTGGTCCTCCTGTGCTGTACCCCATTTTTCTTATTGAAATGTTGCATGATAATTCTTGGTCCCATATTTATATTATATTGAGATTACTGTATAGATTTTGGAGCACCTCCCCCTTTTTTACATCAGTTTTATTGTTTGCATTTAAAAAATTTACATTAGTTTCAATAGTACAATACGTACTCTATTTAAAAGAATGCTCGATAATAAATTAATGTGGTAATGACAGAATGCAAGAGTAATGTTTCACCCTTGGTGGCCTCCTGTTCATTAGTCAATGTCATAGTTATGGGTGAGACACAAATTTCTACTTATTAATCTAAAAGTTCCATCTTCCTCATCATGCATAAATGAATCTGGTTGTATACACAATTCTTGTCTGCTGTGCTGGTTTGCATTATATATGTATCGAGTAATTACAAAAACTACCATAAGTTTAACTTGCAAATGATTTGGATAATTGAGTGTCTTAATGAAACACTGATGATAAATTTATATTCTTTCAGCATTTGGGTTTTGTGAGTTTGGGAACCCAGATGCAGCCCTGCGAGCCATTAGACTGCTTCATGACTATGAGATTGCTGAAAAGAAATTGGTTGTCAAAGCTGATGCAAAAACCAAAGAAGTTTTAGATGATTATAAAGGTAAGTATTGACAATGGAATAATATAACAGTTGTTTAATGATGTAATAAGTAATGGTAGATCTATTTTATTAATTGTAAAGGAAGACCTAAGGGGTCCAGTCTTGTCTGAGTGTACTTATTTAACATCTTGTTCACTCCTTATGTTAATAAATATTGAATTAGTAAACTACAAGTATCACCACCTATCCCTTCTACCCACTGGTTCTTAGAAAATAACTATTGTAACTCGCGTGCCTAGAAGCTCGCTAGCACGCTACCTAACAGTTCAATGAGATATATTATATTCTAATAAGTGTTATAGTAAGAATGACATGGTTTCCAAGATTAATCCATGGTATAGAATATAACTAAAATGAGATATAATTGAGAGAAAGTAAGGACATAAAATTCATAAAATACATTAATACTGTCTATATATATGTATATATATATATATATATATATATATATATATATATATATATATATATATATATATATATATATATATATATATATATATATGTGTATATATGTATGTATGTATATGTATGTATATATATATATATATATATATATATATATATATATATATATATATATATATATATATATATATATATATATATATATATATATATATATATAACAGAAGGAATAAAGTCTAGAAAAGAAGAATAAATGCGAAATATGATGAGGGGAAAAACAAACTCTTACAAATGGTATTAGTCTTTAGTACACTTATGTTTGTATCTAATGAAAACTTGCATTACGCATTCCTTAATTTCTCAATAATCTAAAGTAAGTATAAGGCAGTGAAAATTACTGTTTGTTTCCCTCCTTGAAAAAAAGTACTGTACATATATATATATTTTCACAAAATACCTTTTCATGACAGAGAAGCGAAAGAAATCCAAACAAAATGGTGATTCTTCACCTTTACAAGATGAGTTAGATGAAGGTGATGATTACATGGATGAGGATATGCGATTAGAAGATGCAGCAGCAGTGAGGCGTATTAACGAAATCCTCTCCGATCACAAGAAAGACATCATGAACTACGTCCCACCTCCTAACAAACATGACATGAGAGAAAAACGCATGTCTAAAGTTCAAGAAAAACTAGTTGCACTATCAAGTGGGGCTGATATTGCCAACATCCCTACCACAACAGTAAGATCTCTGGTTTTATATGTTCTGCACTTAGGGACACTTAGAGTATTGGTAGAAACTTACAATCTGATGTTCTGTGATGTGATTTACTTCATAGTTTGAGAAGGTGTGTTTTGAATTGAATACAGGGTATCTAAATGAGAGTACCGTACAGTAAAACTAAGTGTTGAATGTAAAATTTTAAGGGAAATATGTAAAAATCTTAAGCTGCCACATAAAAATTGGTCTACATTTTTATGGCTGATAACATCAGGCATAAATGTGTGTCATCTGACCAACTTTTATTTTTGACATCAGCTATAAGATGCTGACACCACAAGCAAGCTGTCAGATTTGGATGGGGTTGCTCTGACTAAGGATAACTAGTTGTTTTGATTTCACTTTTTTCAGACACTTATATATACTATATACTGCTATCACATTGACATAAATGTTTTATATATGTGATAGGTTTGTATTGTAATAGTGCTTGCTTAGCTTAATGACGCATGTCTTTAGTTAGTTACCACGTTGGTTATGGGATCAACAGAACTTGTCACAGTTCTATAGATCAACTTTGCTTTATAAGATAAAAAGAATTTCAGATATGGGGGTCTGGCTTGCTGCTTAATATGAAGATATTTTAGTCCTCTGGAAGAATTTGTGTTGATCTGGAATTTCAGTCAAGTTCCACATCATATCTTGTCTTGGGTGTTATCAAATCTGCAGGCAGTATCAACTTATAAGGTTTATTTCATGAACCTTTATGTTAGTAAATTTTTTTTAGATGATTTGAAAACGGACTATCCCGATGTAAGTTGTTCAGTTTGATCATTTTCATAATGATTTGTACTATTTCCCATAAAGTTTACACTAAAGATTTTTCCCACTGGGACCTTGCTCAGAGGCCTCTTACATAGGTAATGTAACTCAAAGGCACATTACCTGGGTATTACAGCTCAAAGGCTTATTTACTAGTTAATTTACCACCCCAGGAAGAATCTTAGTCATACCTTGCTACTTATTTCTCATTAAATCACAACTACATTTACAATGTAATCTTTCTGAAGATATCAGATTTACATGGTTGAAATATAACATGCTGTTATATATACTGAATGTGAGCAATATTTTCATTACTGTCAGGGACTTGAGATACACACTGTTTTCTGTCTGGTTCCAACCAGATGAGGTTGGCTGGTTCACTTTGTCGCATGTCAGAGATAGTGGCACTTTATAAATGAGGGACACTTATTATTTATATTTTTGTCCTTTGTGATTGAAGGTGCCTAGATTATAAGTGGCTGTCCTTTGCTTTGGAGATTGATCATAACTCAGTTTATAGTGACATAGAAATAACTAGAATGAGCTGTGACATCTTGGCATTAGGTGGACAAAGCCTTGAGGATTTTTATGGGTTGGACTTGGATTTTAATGAGTATTTCAGGGCTGACACTAAGGTGCTGGATCCAGGTCTAATAATTTTATGAAGGGTTATCAGGTTTATTGCTTTGTAATTGAGAGTATTAGTCCAGCAGGACATGGAGCAGTGCTCACACCTTCTAGGGGTTGATGGTTTGCACCCTGGGTTTCCTCAGTTGATTAATCAGTTAAGGGTACCTGACTTAGTTGGTGTAGTGAAGGTAGTCGAGTGCAGCCTCAGCCCCTTTGGCTCTTTGGACTTTCAGGGCTTATAGGTGTATAAGATGTAATAACCTTAGGGTTATTCAATCAGGAATGAGAGGAACTTTATCCTGCAGGTTTATGCAACTGAAATGAAGTAAAGTGTGATTCAACTTTCAGAGCACAAAAATATTTTAATATATTTTGTGGGTAGCCTTTGATTACATCTGTAATTTGTGACCATGCCTTGCCAGCTGTTCCAACCTTGTGGTTTAGTGCTCGGAAGGGCACAGCCATAAAACATTTCTTCAACATGCCTGATGGCAACTGGGTCATCGGAGCTTTGCCCATCCTCTGGTCTCTGTTGCTTTATCTGGGCTGGCATGCATAGACAGTGTACCAGTGCCTTGGTTTCCAGTGGTGATTGGTGTGGTGGGGACATTTTGTTCTGGTTTTACTCAATACCTGCTATCAGGTAATCACAGCTTGCCCACTCAAGCTTGGAAAATTGCTATAAAACATCAATGGTGATGCTTTATCCTGAAATCCTAATTCATAACTAGCATGGGTTTGAGTTACTAAGATCCTTCTCTTCCTCCCTATGGCTGTTGAAAAGAGCTTAAAACTGAAGCCTTGTTGAGTTTACATCATATTTTGTGGCCTTTGTAGATTTCTGAATGTATACACAGAAATTTTGTACAGTAAATTCTCTGCTCAAGCATCCTTGCAACTAACTTCACCAATGCTACTCCCTTTCCAGGGGCTACAGCTCAAATGGGAGAGAGACTTACCCCAGTTTGCCAGTTTTTTACTGGATATCTGGCTGGAGTATAGCACATTCACATAAGTAGAAGGGTTCTGGGAACCCTGTGCTGTTACCCCACAAGCTTAGTGATGCAGTGTATGAGTTAGTCAATAAGTTCTAGTTGTAAAATGGGGTTTTAGGATCAGTACTGTAGCTCATTTTTTTACTATCTTTATTTGAGCTGCTTATTTTTAAATTTTAATGTGTTTCATGGAAACTTGCTGAAAATTTTTTTGGGATTTTATAAAAGGAAATTTAACTGCCTTGATTGATACTGCTTCCTTTTTTGTTAATTGCTGATAAATACCTCTAGTGACAACTTCAGTTTCCTATGGATTTTATACCAAAAATAAGCGATGATCTTTTTATTTATTTATTTTATATTTTTTTATGGAGAGTTGCAAGATTATCACAGAAAAAAAAGGATAGAATTAATATTTTATACTTTGTTTTATGTGTTACTGTTGAATTTACCGAGAACCATAATATGTTGTAAACAGAATACTGTTTTTTTGACAGATGTCCATTTTGCAGAATCTGGATGACATGGAAGATGTGGAAGAGGGTAAAAAAGAGCTGATTACACGAGAGATTACGCAGTTCCGGGAACAGATGAAGGTAGGGTATCAAATTTTATACCTTGATCATCGCTTTAGGACTGTTGCAGGCAGGAGACAATGGGCATTTTGCATCAGAGTAAGACCCTTAAGGGATTAATTGAAACATGGTAACTATATTGTTTCTTTATGTTCATGTTAATTTAATTTTTTTACTTGGCTTTTAGAAATACCAAAAGAGGTCAGGTAGAAGGACAATGGCTGTTGTTTCCTGCTCAAAGTCTGATTAAGATTATTTATACATTTTGTTCATTCTCCTTATACATTAACAGTATGTGTGACATGATCAGCAAATATGATAGTGGGTCCACATAAAGATCTTTATCCTTATTGGGATAAAAACTTGATGTGGATGCAGCCCTTATGAGTTGTTCATGACTCATGTTTGTTTCATCTGTGGCATATCAAATATTCATTAGCTGTAGGCTTACACCATAATTGTGCTCAAATTTGTAATCAGTGGATAGATACAAATATGAGTCATTCTGACTTAACATGACAAAATAGTTACTGGTTGACCAACTTCAACTTGAAGTTTAAAATTTGACAGATGTTTACTTGAATATCAGCAGATTCTCGAACCTTGGAGTCTCATAAATCAAAGGTTTGTTGAGGTTTTGCACACATTAGGCTCACACATCAGTGTCAGCTAATTTATGCAAAGTGAGGAGGAAAAGCACTTGATTAAAAAAAATTAGAGGCTTTTCAAAGCAATATTCATTAAAATGGTAGTGTTTGATAATTCATTAAAAATGGTAGTGTTTGATAAATTTTTTAACTGACCAAATTAAAGGGGCTGTGTTGACAGGTTCTGGCTGACATATACATATTAATATATTACCATATACTGTAATTAAAACGATAAGATTTCTGTATGGCTATGCTATGGAGTTCATTTTATCAAAGCTTTGCTATCTGTAACTTTCCATTCAGTTACTGAACCATGTATGTACAGTACTATTAGTCTTTCAATAAAAGTAATGGGAAGTACAAAGTTAAAATCTATAAGTTCACTTTCAGAGTTCATCAACTTGTGGTCTTTCCAGAAGTTGTCATGTTGAGGCAGGGTTACTTGTATCATACACTTTAAAAGCACAGTTATAAATTCATCAGGGTAAAGTACACCAGTTCATTGCATATGTTCATTAAACTACAAAATGACATAACAGCTTAGAACAACAAAAGAATATGGATGCAAATCAAAGCATATATGGCTGAAATTCTCTTTGTTTCTATGGAGATGTTTTGTGTGTCCCAGACATGCCTAGTCATACCTCCAGATGATTGATGATAGAGCTAATACTATCCTCAGGCAGTTCCCTCCCCTGCATCTTTCTATTGTCATATTCTGCCATTTTAAGCTTCCAGTCTGTTAGAACTTTATTTTTTCATTGCTTTGTGATGATTAAATACTAAATATATAGAGAACATGAATAAAGATTTTTTGTAACTTTTATAATCACTTTGTCACTTGTATTTTTTAAGATTATTTCGCTGATTATGTGAAATTGATAACCTAGTGTTTTTCGAAAAGAAGACACAAACATAATGTGTAATTCTCAAACATAGGCAGTCATAGAGTTCACACGCGGGCAGACGACAACTGTCATGTATGTTTTGTGCCAGCGACGGTGAGTACTGCATCTAATAAAGCACTTTAGTTTGTAACAGAAACAAAAGTTTATTTGGCCTGGGGCAAGGTAGTCCAGACAGTTTTTTGAATTGATAATCAGATTTTACTTTTCATGGGATCTCTTTATGTAAGAATCCACATGTGAAGTTTAAAGTCTGTTTTTAATTCAGTACAATATTTATACTGTCTAGTGACTACCAGTTTTCTTACTCTTGAGATCTTATATCTGGTTTAGATACCAAAGAGGACAAGTTCAGTGAACATATGGTTGGAATTGTCTCTTGTTAGTTGGAGACAGTTTCAACCATATGTGTGCACCTCCTCGGCGGTGGTGGTTTTTGAAGCGGACGTGTTACCTGTAGTCAGTCATCTACCTGCTTGGTCCAGCAACTTAACCTGCTATCTCCTTGACCGGCTCCTGCCAGCACACTGACGCATCTCTCTTGTTCAGCTTTCTTGTTAAGCACTCATGATTGTTGATAGCTCTTTTCATATACCTTAACACCAGTTTCTTGATTACCAGGGGAGTTCAGCACTGATTTAGTGATTTAATGCATCATATTTCAGTTTCTTGGTCCATTTCATGCTTTATTAAATCAAGAAATGTTCCAAGACATTGGATGTTGATAGCCAGGATAATTCAAATTATTAAAACGGGCCCCTGATAATAGAAGTAAAGGTATTGGGATAGGACCAAGTTTAATTGAAGCTGATGGCAGTTTTTCCAGTCTTCAAATAAGAAAAATAACTGATTGATAGACCCTTCAGTTTTAGTGCCAGAAGGCAGTTTGTGCTGGATATTGATGCTCTAAAGTCTCCCTTAACTGGATGAATTGATGACCAGCTGTTCTGGTTAATGGAAAATTCTGGTCACTCATGAAAGTCCATTGAATTAGACCAAATTTCTGGTTTTATGCAACCATTAAAAAGGACCCCAAATAAGGGAAATTTATATATATATATATATATATATATATATATATATATATATATATATATATATATATATAGAAAAAAAATGAAGAAAATGGAATGAAAGTTAAATTAAGTATCGGGTATAAGTGAGTGTTGTACTCACCACTAGAACTTACACAACCAGCCTGTACTATCACTAAAGTCGACCACATTCATTTGCATTGTACATCTTTGAGCAGCATCATGTTTCTCACCTCCAGGCACTGCCTCGATATTGTTTGTACAAGTCATAGACTGCAACATACTTTTTACAAAATGGATGGTACCCAACCTAATTTTAAATAGAAATACTAAATTCTGTCATAGTCTTAATGATTGTTGCCTTAGCTTCTCATTGCTGTATCTCACATTATATATGATGGCTCTTTCCACTTTATATGCCTCCATTATGACTTATGGGTGGGCACTTTTTTTTATTATTATTTTAAACTTGTACCTCAATAATCAGTCTTATTTTCTTCTTGCTTCTCCTCCCAGAAGGCTTGATTGACACTTTAGGCATGGTTCAAGTATTAATTTCATGCACAAAATATGCAAAGAATTAAAGTAAAATATCAGTGCATCACTGTTGTGTTCATTAGCATCAGGAGACAAAGGGACTGAGGATTAAAGTGGGGGAAATGGGCACAGACCACAGCAAGAGGAGGGGTTATATGACAGCCTCTCTATGCTGAGGCGTGACCAGCACGTAACACTCGTGCAGAGGAACAGTGAGGACCAGATTTTTTCTTTAGATTAATTGCAAACAAGGGAACAGCTCAGAAATTTTTTATCTCTCACAAATCAGAATATTGCAGGTATTTGGTTAAGAGACATCCGGTTAAGGAAGACTTTACTGTACTTTGCTGTGTGTGTAGTAGTAAAGTATCTGTCTTGGGCAAGTTGAGAATGGAATTGGTTGAGTAAGTTCTTAGCAGCTTCCTTGACATGAAAGAGAACTGTCATTAGTTTATTATTTTTCCTTGGCCTTCCATATCTTATGTAATATTACTTCTATATTTTGTCCAGAAAGTAAGATTTTAATTTAAAAGATTTTGCATCCATTTTTTTTATTTAGAATATGAACTGGAATAAATTTTCTTAAAATTTTATTTTATATTTATTTGATTACCTTTTGGCTATAACCTAAAGAGAGAAAGAAGTCAGTGTGACTGTTGTGTGAGGCATTTGTATTAAGGCTGTTGTTTAATTACATGGTTTTATTTTCTTTCCTTTTATTATTATTTTTTGACATAGTTGTGGAGCGTAACATTAGTTTTGAGGATGTATAGCACTTGGTAACTCCATGCCTCATGTTAGTGTTTCTTTGGTGTTCCGGGAGGGAGGGAGATGGGATCAAAGAAGATGGTAAAAGGTGCTGATGGCAGGTAAGGATTACTATTCCACACCACATGACAGTATATTTGAATCACAGTTACTTGATGAATTAAATGATGAAGGGAATACTAGGTATATTTATTAATTTCTTCAGTCAAAAGCATGTTATGTTGAGGTAATGTTGACAAGTGTGTGCAAGAGGAGAAAGATGATTGTCTTTGGGCATAAGGATGAATGTTGGAAGTTCTTTCTATAAAATTTGTATAAACTTAACTGTTATCTCCCAGCAGTGCCATATCATAAAACACTCAAAATGAATTTGATGTATGGTAATTGAAGAACAAAGCTCAGATAATGTATACAGGTGATGGAGTATTTTTTGTTGTTTTATGTTGGAAAAATAGCTAAATTGAATCCTTGATTAAATTATTTCTCTGGCTGTAACTTGATAAATTCTTACTTGAAATTTCTTAATAATTTTAACACAATATAGATTGATTCACAGCTTGTTGCAACTTTCTTTAGTATTATATGTTTCAGAATTTCCAGGAGCATTTTAAAATACAGTAATTAAATTTGTGTTTTTTACTTGTCCTGTTGAATTAAATCTGAGAAGCGTGTGGAATGTTGGAAAGGAAAAGGGGATCATATCTGATGCTTACTGAACTTTGTACTTTGCCTTGTATCCTTGTTGAATGGCTTGCTCAAGAACATTGTGACAATAAGTAAAAGAATTTCAGTTACTCTTGGATTTTATTGCATTTTTATCCAGAAGTCATCCAGGTGCCAATAATGTTTGATTGTTGGGGGTTTCCGACACAGACGGGCTGTCGTCATATAATTCATCGCTTCTCGTCTTGTGTCACTGCCATACACTTGGTTGGAACCCTGTTGTGACTGATGGTGAAAGAGTATAGGAAGGTTCCACGGACTAGGTCAGGAGGATTTGAAGAGGCTTTCCATTTTTTAATAAGAGTTTTTTAAGTTGAGTCTACTTCACTGCATTTTGGTCATGTATTGATATTAAACAATTGGTGAGCAAAACTCAACTCCTGACTTCTGGTCAAGCGCATTTTAGGGTGGAACTTCCCCACAGAATCTGTCAAGGAATTGCATCTGAAGGGAGAGATCGAGGCAGGATGTTTTTATAGACTATCCCTTCGTTCTCTCCTCCCATCTCCCCACAACCCCGGGCTAGGCTTGCCTGACAACGACCCAGCAGTTGAGCCTTTCGCCCTAAAGCACAAGGCAAGTCCTGTCTGCCAACGGTAGCATCTTGTTCCAATTAGGGAAGGAACGTGATGGGAGGGTCGGGATTTGGAGCTGAGCTCAGATTCAAGGGATATTGTGCTAAAGCTAGCCATGAAGAGCTTCTCACTCACACTTTTCACATTCTCGTGGGTTCATCCCCTCAATTTTTGTTTTTTGTTTTTAATTTTTTTTCTCGCGTTTGCCAATAATAAATTACTAGTGCTTTCTGATCCAGTTTAAGTTTGTTTCTTAATTTTTTACAATACTACTGTTGTGGACAAACTCAGAAACATTGCTCTTGGAAAGTTTAAAGGATTTCTTCAGTTCATTAAATGTATTATGGTCAGTATAAGTAGTGTACAGTATATCTTGTCCTAATTTTCTCTAGTCAGATTGGTGCTGATTTTAAAACAGGGTGGGTGGTGCCACATGCAGAAACCTTGCAAACATTTCAGCTGCTGACTATCTACAAATCATCAAGTGTCAAAAGATTTATTGCAGTGTTTGAAACATTTGCTGAAGAGTTGTGCATGTTGGCATAGTTGTCAGATAAGTAAAGGAATCAACATTTCCTTACACCTAAAGAAAAAAAAAAGGGTTGTATTAGCAAATATACCCACAAGGGAAAGTAGAAGCAAAGCAGTAGGAAAATGGGAGGAAAGTAAGGGAGGGATTACAAGATAGATTTGAAACTAATATATTAAGCTTAGTGTAGAGTTTGAGAACATGAACATGTAACTAAAGAAATTGAACCATCAGTGGGAGAATGTACACATTCCTCAGGCTACCAATTCCCACTCAAGTGAGTCAATCTAGTACTAGTTAAGTATAAATAAAAATCAATTAATGATAGCAATGAAGCACAAGAAACCAGGGAGACTTAATTATTGCTTGATTCACAATTTATTGCCTTATGCTTAATGATGCTACATGAAAGCCAATTAGGAACTGGTTACAATGTAAGCTTTTGGGTTATATTTTCCACCTTTGTGCATCTGTCAGGAGTTAATATTTTATTCTCATTTGTGGAGACTTAGCCTTGAGTTGTTTGTTAGCTTTATAAGTGGTAAATAAAGTCTTTATGATTTGTTTTTCAATGCATGAACAAGTTTTGCTTCAGGGCATACATACAGTATATATTCATATATGAATATGTATCTATATATCTCTTTTTATCTCCTTTTAGGCTCATAGCTACTTACATTTTGGAGGAAATTTCAACCATTGCTTCACCTTAGAGTAGGGCCAATAATATCGTGGCTGTGAGTGTGTGAGTGTGTATGTGTGTGTGCAACAGAAAAGCCAGCAATCTTTGTCGGCTTCTGCCTGTTGTTCTGTGGTCTTGAATCTTTGTTAGACTTGGATGTTATTCTATGTACCCTGATGATTGTGTTGTTGCTGTTGATATTTAATTGTTTTAACATATCCTTACAGAAACAGGAAGAAGAGAAGGAGAGGGAGAGAAGGCTAAGAGAGAAGGACAGAGAGCGGGACCGAGACCGAGATAGAGAGCGAGAACGGGAGAGAGAGCGGGAAAGAGACAGGGAGAGGGAACGAGAGAGGGAGAGGGAACGTGAACGAGAGAGAGAAAGGGAAAGAGAACGTGAACGGGAGAGAGAAAGAAGAGAGAGAGAGGAGAAGCTAAGGCGGCGATCACGCTCTGGGTCTCGTGGTGGCAGCATAAGAAGATCCCGATCCCAATCGGTTGATAATCGTAGATTAAAGAAAGAGAAGAGATATTCCAGATCTAGGTGAGTGATTCAACTTTCCTCTTAGCTTGGTCTTAACATAAAACTTAAGCTCAAGCTTTATTTGTTTCTTGAAAGATACTCTACAGAGACTGGCAAGTATGTGGTCAGCATATGAGTAAACCATGAAGGCCCTTGGCAAATTCATCAGTGCATGAACTGTTCACTTATTTGATTTCAGACCTTTTGAATTTGTGACCACTATATTTTACAGTGACCTAGACCTGTTTCTGATTTAATTTACATTGTGGAAAGGTGTAGTTTCCTTTCTCTTCTTGCTCATATTACTGTAGGGTTTAACAAAGTAATCTTTCATAATTTAACCTATTGAGTGGGAGGGATTTCTCAGCTGAATGAAATTGTTGTCAAGTGATGAATGTGATGGTCTAATTGCTTTTTTTTCTTACACTGCACATCATTGAAGTTTGACTGGGCAATAATAAAAAGTGGGAGTAATTTAGGGTGCCACATTTACAAAAGTACAACACCAAATTGTGCTTTTTTGAGGATCTGCTGTAAAACTTTATAAATAGTGTATATGTTGACTCATTACTCCAACAGGGCAAATACAGTAGTAGTCCAAATAATGAATATGAGGGACTAAACAATGAATAACGATAAAGTTTTCCTTAAATTGATGAATGACGAATACAATATGTGAAACGACAAATGAAGGGGAAATGAGTAACGGGGACCACTTGTAGTGGGAAAAAATCTGAAGTTTTATATGGCCAATCCATTAAAGGGCATGTTGCCTGTATACTAATGTGATGTCTGCTTGTTATCTCCCTCCTTTGAATTGTGACTTGATTCTGATGTTGCTTTTTAATCTGGTCATTGCAATGGGAAGGTTGGGTACAGTTGAATTATATTTAATATTTTTGGGTGGAAAAAATGTAATTTCTCATGATATCTAATGAAAATGAACATGACTCACATTTTAAGCAATTTGACTTCCTACAGTACATACCGTATATGGCGGTGTATAAGTCGACCTTTGAAGCCAAATTTTTAGTGTCCAAAGTAAGGGGGTCGACTTATACGATGGGTATAAAATCATGACCGTAAGTGAGATTATTTTGTATTACAACCTTCATATTTACCTTTAATATAATTGTTCTATTTCTATTATGGATGAAATAAAGTTTTTCTCAATAGTTTTATTTAAACACCTTTTGTTATTGATGGCTGTGTGTGGACTGGTGGAATGAGCAGGAAGTCAACTGAGTTCAGTGTTGTGATTGTTGGGTCAGTCACTAATGACGTTGTGCGTGACGTCATGCATAGAGCGGCTTGTTTGACTGTTTACCTGTTTATGTATGTGTGTTGATGGTTGACTTGGTCCTTCACAACACTTGACAGCTGCTGGAGTTGGGGAGTCGACTTATACGGTAGGTATACCTCTATGACCAAATTTTATTGCTTGAAAAGGGGGGGTCGACTTATAGGCCGCCATATACGGTATATATTGTAACAATTGTTTACAGGCCAATGGAAGCTTTTCAAACCAGTTCCAGACTTTAACAAAACACTCCGGTGAATTTCTCATTTTCAAGGCATTTTCCCGATTTCGATTTATTAGGATTACAACCAGGAAGTGAAATAAGCTGTGGTAACGAATTCCACAAAGTCGACACATTAGATGTTAAGTTGGAGGTACAGTACTAAGGTACGCTGGCAAAAAGTCAGCAACACCAGTAGGACTGTTTTGGACGACTTTGGCAACTACAAAACAAATAAGTTTTATTTTTCATAAACTTTTTGCTTGTACAGTATAGTCTTCATTTACGTGGTCAATTGAACCCGTGGAGGTCCGCATAAAACGAGAAACGCATAAACGAAATAGCATATGGGATTAATTGAAATAGAGACTGGGCCGACCCCCAAACTACACTTTTACCGACACAATACGTACGTTGTAGTAAAAATAACATTTAAATTTTATGATGGTATGCACACACAGTTAGTAGAAAAGATGGCTGGGCACATGGGGATGAGGGGTTAGTTCCGAGGCAGAGGGCAGATTATTGGCCCTCACCTGTATCAATTGTAACACTATCCACCACAGAGGCTTGCAGGACCTCTTTGTCAAACCCCTCAAAGTCCACATCCTCACTATCACTGACTTGGGCTGGCTGTGGTGGGTAGCGGGTGAAGAACTCGGTAATGTTTTGTTGACTGGACGACCTTGTGCTCACCCTGCCCGCGCTACTTCCCGCGTAAATGATGGAATGAACTGTGTAAATAAAAATTGTCGGGTCTGGCAAGGTGCCGTGTAATTGACCAAACGTGTAAACCAAATCCGCATAAATCGAGACTATACTGTACTGTATTATACTGTACAGAGAGAGAGAGAGAGAGAACTGTATTGTACTGTACAGAGAGAGATTTTTATGGAATGCAACCCTTTCATGAATCAAGGTACAGTATACCTGTACATTTACAAATTTACATAATACTCTCTATGCTTGGAACTTGCCAAAAGTGAACTCGTTAGCATGCTGTGTACATGTCTACCTGCATGTGTTTGTATGTGTCAATTATCTCTGAAATGTTCTTTACTTCATTTCTACAGATCACCTTCACCCATACGTAAAAGTGAGAGAGATGTGTTACGAGAGAAAGAGGAAGAAGCTGAAGACAAAGAACGGAAGGAACAAGAGAGAAAAGTTCGAAAAAAGGAATTGCAATATCAGGTAAGAATTTTCAGTATCTGGTCGCACATAGTTTACAGGTCAACATTTTGCTGGCAGTCAAAGATGAGGAGTAATGGCGAGAAAAATATAAAAATTAATTTTTTTTGTCTTCAAAACAGTCTTAAGCCCACTAATAGGATTGCCTTTTTTATTAATCTGTCAGGGATGAAGGTCATTGGTACCAATAATGGTCATGTGAAGAGATTAATGACGTGAATAAATTTTGGTAATTTTTTATTATAATCTTCATTATTATGTGGGAAACATGTAAAATGTTAATACCGTATAACCTCACATACCTGAACTGTATGAGACAAACTCGTATTTGACAATGTGAAAGAGGCACCTTGTTGCAATTTTTGTTTTGTTTTACATTAAAAACCCCGAGAACTGGACTAATTAAGCCACAGCGACGTCTTTACTCAGACGGAATCCGTTATTCGGGCGTCTATATCAGCAGGGAAGCACAACAGTCACCATATTGCACTAACACAGATTGGCTTATTTAAACTCACAATAAATTATGTTCAAGTAAAATAAGCATATGATATAATTTCAGCATTTTTTTTTATAATAAATATTAATACCCCCATAGACGTAGGTAGGGTTCTAGATTCTGGAAGCTTTCAGAAACGCAAAGAAGATTTTTGAAGGTTCCCGGGTCCCAACATACGTGGTATGGATGGCTTTGTACAGTATGATATAAAGTGGATCATGTGAATGTGTACTGTATAGTATACCTCTGGCAATGATGTGCAAATGTTCACAAAAACCACTTCGGTCTTGGGAATTTCATTATCATGGTTAGATTTAACATTGAGTAAAATGGAACAGGTTCCAATACTTCGTTATTCTATATTTCACATACACCCAAATTTAGCAAAAGTTGCTATAATAGATACAGTATTGAAAGTAATACATAGTACATAAAATACAATAGCACATTTTATGTAAAAAAAAAAGAAGCTACTTTATCCCTTGAACCATCCTATGGATGATGCCAAGGTTGGACGAGTTCAGCCAGCCAGCTGATTGAGACACATAGCTGCTATGCCATGTATGCCGTGACGTTACATTGGGGAGACTGTGACTCATCCATACATAGGTTCACATCCCACACAGAATACTGTTCACTCGTGCTCTTCATTTTTTTTTAATAGTTTTATATTATATTTCCTTTATGTATCTAAGTCACATTATAGTGCTGAAATGATTTTTCCGCAATTTAAACAGTTTCATTTCATGAATCAGTGGCACTATAGCCAACTGAAGGCCACAGCTGCAGTGATGTGCGTTATGTAGTGAAGATTATGTGGGTGTGTATGGGACACACACTTCCAGTGGAGATGAAGTGGATCCCAATTACAATATGCTTTCTTTATATTTAGAGTTCCAAATTTTTGCATTTTCTCAGGAACAGAGCATTTATTGTTGACCATGGCTATAACTTCAAGTTTATCCTTCATGGTAAGGCGCTTTCTGCTATTTGGCTATGCAAATGTACTATCTTGGGCATTGTTCTCATAATGTGTCATTTATATGTCACGAGAGAATACACAAGTCTACACTGTGTAATAACCACACATAGACCGAGTGCAGTGCAGCTGTGTTTTTGTGATGGAGGCGGGACCATGCAGTCCATGCCGCTTCACTCCACAACAATAACAGTGACCCTCAAGATTTTCCAGATATATTTTTTATTTATTTTTTTCCAATCTTCGTGTCGCTATTCAGACAAGTTGTTATTCAGGTGTCCGGTACTCGGGGTTTTAACTGTATTTGGAATATTGTATTCTTTAGGGTGGTCATAATGTGTTGGTAATAATTTCATATTGAAATTTTGACTACAATTATGTATTGTTCAAAGGAACTTCATAACTTTGATTTGATTTTTGGGCAGGGAAAGGTAACATACAAATTATAGTACAGTTTGTCAGACATGTTTGATTGCATATATTGCATATTGAACACTCCATCAGAAAACGAAGCCCCCCACCCCTGATATAAAAGTGTCCATTTCATTGATTTCCTTCTTATTACCTAAGCAGGCTTTTCATTAAACTTGTACTATTCAACAATTTTCTTTTCTGTTCTTCTTTCTCTTTTATTGTCTCTTCCCAATTTTCTTGGAATTCATTGCAAGACAAAACTGAAGAGATGAATGCCTGCAATATAATACTGCCAATCAGCTGCCACCACATTGAACGATTAGGAGAGAATGAGCAATTCAGATTGTTTTACCTTTATTAGTGTGTGCATCTATGCCACCACTCCTTTCCTCACTTCAGTCAGGGCTCCCTACCTCCTGCCTCTCATTTGTATGTTTCCATTGTGATGGAACTTTGACTTCAAAGGTATGTCTGGAGTATCTTGCTTGAATGCTTAACCATACACAGATTTACCTCTGTTTTGAAATACAGTAATATCTTCGTTAGCCGGATTCCCTCAAACCCGGAACTCTCTGATAGCCGGGATTTAAATTTTCTCGGAAGATCGTTCCCAAAGCCGTAATTTTCCGGAAAATTACAGCTCTGGGAACGATTTTCCAAGGGGCACATTTTCTGGAAAATTCCGAGAAAGTTTTCCCAATACCCGGAAAATTCTAGGGATGGGGGAGTTTTTTCCGGGTTTGAGAGGTGAAAATCAGGCGCATTTTCCGGAAATTCCGAAAAAAATTTCCGGTGCCCGGAAAATTTCGTGGATGGGAACATTTTTCCTGGTTCAAGAAATTATGTATGCGCAATATCTGAAGGTTCCGAGAAGATTTTTCCATTACTTGGAAAATTCCGGGGATGAGGGATTTTTTCTGACTTTGATAGAGTTATCTCGTTACCCGGAAATCTCTCATTCCTTGAAGTGCTCTGCGCCAATTGTTCCGGCTAATGGAGATGTCACTGTATACTGTAGTAACATAACTTCTATGCACCTAAGTGATACCTTACTTCCTCATTTTGCAACCAGCCAGCATTTACATAATGGGATATTTTTCTAGCCATTTATCTTTAGTGAGGTTTTCAATCCTTATGGACAGGATAATGAACCATTGCTTCTATGAGTTAATGATTCCTTTTACCATGATAAATACTTAAAGCCATAAGCTAAACTTTTATAGAGGATGCATGTCCGTATGTAAAATGGGGAAGTATTACCACAGCACTTTATAAAAGGGATGCATTCATTTATAGTAAGGTATTTTGTGTGTGGCCTTGACTGCAGAGCTGCATTATCTAGTTGAATTTAAGATTTTTTAATTACTTTTTTTCTGAGGATCCTTTTCACGTATGCCCAAATTCTGGCTTCTGGCATCCAGCTATTTGGGGGTTTTCTGTAAATTAGTTTCTCAATTTTCAGAATTTTTCATGGATACTGTACAGGTCATTGGTACCAAAAATATACAGTACAGTTTTAAGAGTGTGAAGTAATAAATGACATAAATCAATAGGGAATTTTTTTGCATTTTTATGCCATACGGGTGTTTTAACAAGTGAGCTCGGAGATAGCTGTAGGAACACCTTTTGGTAAAGCCTGCTTTATTTAGGTGGCTACCTGCATTCTTGAGGCAGGTGCACTGACCTATCAGATCAGTACAAATGTTGTATGAACACCCACCCTTCATGTTGAACCAAGGTGCATTTAGTGTAAGCTACAACATTTCCCAGTGTTGTCAAAAGTAAAGTGAAATCAACATGTACACTGAGTGTTTTTCTGGGTTATATATTAGTTGATGGTAATTTAAGACTACACAGTGATAATCCAGCATTTTCATGCAATACCGAACTGCCTTTGATAATTTATAGTTTGTGTGTGTGTGTGTGTGTGTGTGAACACAACGTTATGGAAATGTCGTAAATATATATGTATTTACTTGTAAACTTAATTTTATAAATGGGGAATGCGTTCTGAGGGGATGTGTGTGGTTTTTGGTCATATTTAGAAGAAAAATATTATGTAACTACCAAAATATAGGCAGTATTGTAACAAGGCTAAACAAACACTAATACCATATAATTATGTGCACATAAAAATAAGTAAGTATTGAAGAATTTATTAGCTTAAGTCAGAGTAAATATACAGTACTGTGACACCCTTGCTATAGTGCTGTGTACAGGAGCTCAGGTGTACATCACACACTCAACTGATGCATTGTGGGGTGAGTGGCTACAGCCAGTTGGGAGAGATGCAACTTACTGCAGTTATGTTCTTGGCTTAATATTATTACTGTTAACCGGGAATTTAAATATTTCAAGTTAGATTGTTGAACTGTAATGCATTTATCAAAGGAAGCAGAGGTGAAAAACAACATATTTAAAAAAAAAAAAAATCAGATTCGAAGAGTGGTGCAGTAACAACACATCCAGTTACAGCAGTTTGTAGAAATGTAACCACAAGCAAAGGTTTTTTTTTTTACTATCTTATTTCTTATTGCATAACAATAATTCAATAAAGCCTAGTTGTCTGCACTTATAGATCAGTAGGTACATGTATTGGTAATTTTTAATTTATTTATTTATTTAAGTCAGGGTAGTTGTGTGACATCCTTGCTGTAATATTGTGTACAGGAGCAAGGGCATGCTCGCCCTCTTAACTGATGTATTGTGACTGATGTATTTTGTCGGACTATAGATTGTTGGTAGAGATGCCACCTAATTTGACCCTTAGAATATTTTCTTGGCAATTTTCTTTTTCTTTTTGTAAGTTAACCAGGAATCTAAACATTTCAAGATGGATTTTTGAATTGTTACACTTATCAAAGTAAGCAAAGGTGGACAATAATTATGAATTGTGTTTTTGTGCCTGTTAGTAACACGATGGCTGATCACAGCAGTATAGCAGAGATGCAACTATGAGTAAGTGCTTCTTCGTAAATCTCTTGCTTCTTATTGAATAGCAAAGCAAGTTCAACAAACCTTCATATATTAATGGAAATATGATATGGACTGAATAAATAGAATTTAACACTCACCAGAGATAGCATAGAAAATTATTTGTAGAGGCTGCTC